CGTTCATAACTGCCATGCCAGCTGGATGGCCCTGAAAATCGCAATGCGGTTCCTCTTGGTGCTGGGCAGAAACACTGAAACAAATTTTCTCCATCAATTTGATTTTATTTCCCTTCTTTATAAATGGCTGGAATTACTCCTGAGAGTCAGTAGGGGAGGTGATTAGGGTTCTTGAAAGATTAGCTTGATTCTAACAAGATTTCAGGGTAAAAGGTAAAGTTTGAAATGGTTTACAAGTGAGTTCACCCACTGTTTCAGCTTTTTAAGTTTTGGAGCATGTTCTCTAGCTAAAACCTTGGTAGTTTGCAGCACTGTTCGCCAAAATTCAATTAAAAATATTAAATATGTTTACTGAGAGCAAGACAGCAATAGGCACGCAGCTCTGTTGCTTGTGCAGTCAGCTACATTCCTGTAATCCTCTGTGAGTTACTGTGTAATTGTTGTATACCCTGAGCTCTGCCTTCCTTACTGATGTCATTGTTTGTAAGTCCAGATAATCTTCATGACAGGAGGGTTTATTCTCCACACTTCTGTCATTGGTGCTCCTTTCAACACCTGTTTTTTGGCCTGTACTGGGAGTTTTGATTACCATACTAACTTCAAAATTCTTAGTGAAAAGACAGTTTTATACTCAGCGCTGTAGAAAGATCTCTGCACATCCTGGCTCAGTGGGTCAGCAATTCTTGACAAATCATCATGTAACAAATGGTGTTGGTTGCTTTCATTTGCTTTGATTTAGGAGAGTTTTGTTGCTTACAGGTTATTTTGGTTGGCTTTTTTTGCCAAGCAGTGTTTCCATAGATTATTACAGCTAGCTCTACACTGGTGGTGTACATGGGAAGATGCCTCTGTTGAATGACTTTAAACTTAATACATCTTGTAAGCCATGTGCTCATATAATTCTAATGTAAGTAAATTGTAAACTTGAAAAGTGAGAGAGTGAGCTCCATATATGTATATTTATATCTCCTAGATAGAGTTATAAGCAACTTCTGCTGAACCTCTTTTATGGTAAAGTTTAATTTTTAAAATCCACATAACAAGCCAGATACCAGATAGAATCACAAAATGGTTTGTGTTGGAAGAGACCGTAAAGCTCATCCAGTTCCAACCCTCTGCCATAGGTAAGGACACCTTCCACTAGACCAGGTTGCTCCAAGTCCTGTCCAGCCTGGCCTTGAGCACTACCAAGGATAAGGTAGCCACAGGTTCTCTGGACAACCTGTGTTTTGATGTAGCCCAGCATATGGTTGGCTTTCTGGGCTGCAAGAGCACACTGCCAAGTCATATCGATAGACTGTTCCGCTGTTTGAGTGCATACCTCAGTGTTACAATGGATGTTTTCAGTTCTTCATTATTATCTAAGCTTTCATGCGCTTCTTGTGGAGTATGTCAAATTTGTAACTGGCTACAGAGCCATCAGTTGTCTTATATTTTACCAGTTCTCACCACGATAAGTAGGATCAATCTAGCTGGCAGAATGGTAGTTTTTGAGTTATCTATTTGCCACATTCTTCATCCAGTTTCACCTAGTTAGTGGAGGTGGATGGGTGGGTCAGGTTCACTAGGTCTCTGCCTCTACTTGATTCTCAGTTCTTTTGAAAGTTACCCTTGGGCAATTTAAGCTGTGCTGTTACAGCAAGTTCTTGATTCAGATTAACAATGAGGCAGCTAAGGAAAAGCAGTATTATCCTTAGTTACATTTTACATGATATTCAGTTGTCCTTTACTTCTTAGCTGTCTAAAGATAGTAATCATTATTTATTTGTAAATACTGATTTATAAATGTTTATTTTTATCCTTTCTTATTCTTGGACCTATTTTTATCCTTTCTTATTCTTAGACCCAGGCAAACAGGACACTTGGCCCAGCCAGCCTACATGTTAGGTCCTGGCTGGTGGCTTGGTCCCTGCACATAGGGGTTGCAGCTCCACACTGTCAGATGTCTGTGCCTGTGCCTCTTTTGTTTTCATTAGTTATGACTCTGTTGGTTGCCAGCATAGGTTATTGATGGTCTCACTGCTAGCCTCACACCAATAACCTTGACTTTCTCCATATCCAAGGCTATTCAGTGGGTGTCTCTGGGGCTTTTCCTCACCTTCTGGTCTCCTGCCCCAGGCGTGTAACATGAAGTATTGAGGTCTGTTGGCAGAGAGAGTGACTTCTTTGAGCGCTTGGCAGGTCATCAGCCTCCAGTATTCCAAGCTGCTTCACAGGGATGTGGAAAAGTGTAGCTGACTCCAGAGAGAAGATGCAAGGAAACGTTCTATGGCATGCTGTGCTCTACTGATTATAGCTTAATTTAGCATGGATGTTTGCACTGGTTTATGTTACTGTATGCCCACAGACAGATATACAGGTTAAATTCCACTAGTAATCTGATGTGTAATGGCCACATGTGCAATCAGTATAAAAATTAAAGAAATTTGGGCTGTCAGTTGCCAGATCTAGTTCACACTTTCCGGTACAGCAGGCAGCTAAGCCTTCAAAATACAAGATTCCACTGTTGAGATTTCTTAACGTAAAAAGAAAGATGGAAATGAAGCATCTGGGAAATGCTGGGTGATGAGGGCAGCATAGGGTCTGCGTCTTCTTGCAGCGGGTAGCTCTCTTACAGTGTGAAACTACTGCTGAAATCTTTAGTTTTCTTTCATACCTTATGTTATCTCCATTGCTGGTGGGCACACTGTCTTGAAAGGTCCATTGCTTCTTTTTGACATTACATAGCTGTTTTAACTTTACATCACAGAAATAAAAGTGATAGGCAGTGTAAGCAGTTGACATTCTTCTGTGCATTTAGAAGACACATTTAGCAAAGATATACGAAAGAAATTATACAGCCACATTCAAGCCTTCCAAACCTGTCAGAGAAAAGATTCAAATAGATTAAAAAGTTGGTTGTTCTCCACAAGTAGAAAACAGTGTGGTAAATCATTTTTTGAAGGAGGGGAGGAAGAAAGATCAAGCCTTGAATATAGGGAAGTAAACATTTTCTTTCATAAAATACATTTCTAGAAAGTGACCTGTTTTTGACAGAAAGCTTTCTTCACTTGCTCTTTTAGTTCAACGAGTACAAAATGACTCAGTTGCAAACATAATTTTTATTTTAGGCATTTCAGCTTGCTGACTGTCAAGCTATATATACACATTATGATTCAGTATTTATAAACAATACTGATAACTAACAAGAAAAAAATGGGCATCTGTTCCAACTTTCCAATTTTTGATACAATTTTCTAAATATTTTTCCTCAGTGTCCAGGTCTCTCCCGAAGACTTGGAAATAAAGTTCTGGGACTGAACTGTAGATTTTATTTCATTGTCTTGCTGGCATGTTGCAGCTATACATTTCTTTAAAGAAGTTTCTTTGCTAAATCAGTGGTTTTGCCAAGAAGAAACATTTCATACAGTTTTGGCTTAGATGAAATAGTGACTGTCTTCTATGCTTCTAACCCAAAAGTTATGAATGAAAATGCATAGTTAAGCATAGAACTAGCCGAAAGTTTTCCTCAGAAGGGTGTTGACATAGCTGTTGTTTAAAAATTTACCAGAGTAATTCATAACATTGGCCATACCTAGTGATACTGTTAAACTCAGATTTCACAGTTACTTGCTGGTGAAATTGCTTTTGGCTGCTGCCAGCTTTAACCTCTTAAAAATCTTACCTTTAAATGTGGGGATTAATGTGGAAGCAAAACACTTGGATGCCCGTTTCCGTAAGATGCCACGTTACGTCATTCTTGAGGATGTGCACGGGAGGACATACAGCCATCCCTTCCCAGTCTTGATATCCCCTAATATGTTTCTATGAACCTGAACAGTGCTGCTTGTTATTGCATTGTGCATCCCTGGAAAACCTCTCTTGTTGTATCATAAACTTCAGTAGCTATGCAGCTGGAGTAGCTCAGCCCCCAAAAATGTGGGGAGAAGGTCCTTTGGGTAAGAAACTTGGTGGCAGATCTGTAATTTGTTATTGATGTGTTGTTTATGCTCTAAAAACTTGGACATTAGCAAGTTTATAGTCATCTAACATTAATTGGTGTACAACTAATACAGTGTTCAGTCCTGAAAATTCTGTAACTAACTGAAAAGCCTTTCAGTGTAGGAAAAAAAGCGCTAAAGGAAGAAAGTTCTTCAGTGAATTTAGTGACCTTATTCTCTTCCCTATGAGGAATAGTCTGAGGTCCTGCAGTAGCAGCCTTTGTGCTAATAGTCTGAGCCACAAAAATAGGCAAGAGGGGAAAAAGAGGATTCCGTCTTGAAAACAAGGGATAAATTAGCACCAAGGACACGATTGCCGTGTCCTTTGAGGCTCTGTCAGGGTAGCAATGCTGCTAGCTGAGTCACTCCCCCTGCTGTCATGGTCAAGCTAATGCTACCAAGATAGTGACTGACAGCTGGAAAAACAGCCTCTGTTGGGGGAATCGATACTGCTGTGCTGTTTTCCTCTGGCAGTTTGTTTCTAAGTTAGTAACGAAGACCCTTGGTTTTTGCTTTGCTAGAATAAGCCTGCTTATTTTTCACCTTTTAAATTTACCTTGCGAATAAGTCAGTTGAGGTTAGGCTGGCAAGCACATGTTTTAATGCTTTCTGGAAATAGTAGGTTCATATAAGGTAACATGCAGGCAGACTTCCAACGGAACTTGAGAGGAGGCTGGAAACCCCCTATGATTGTGTTGTATATCCTGACAGGCTTGTCGGGTCAGCATGAGGGCTCATGTCTCCAGGTTCTCAGAAGAATCCTGGTCTGACGGAGATAGATGAAGTACACTCTGATAAGGAACACACAGTGGAGAATCAGGAGAATGCCCCTGATTCTAACACCACCTTATAAAAGTCAGGAGAAAGTGAACCCCTCTCACTGCACTCTTGTCCTGCAAGGCATAACATTCAGATGGGTACTTTTAAGAAGAGCAGCAGGAGAAATGTCTGCAAAGCATCACATGATGCAAAAAACTACCAGCTTGCTCAGGAATTTTTTATTATGTATTCCTATTGTAGGTTAGGATGGTTATTCAGCTGGCTTCCTGCCTGGTGTCCTACATCACTGCAACACCTTAAAGAGGCTGAGGACAAAATGCTGAAATGTAAGTCTTTAGTTTTTAATAAGATTTGTAAATATACATCTTAAATATAAATATTAAATCTAGATTTTCTATAAATTTACAGTAAGTACTCTCAAGTTGTTAAATACAGCTTTTACACTGTGGTGAAATAAACACGTTTAGAATTAGATTTTTGTTGTTCACTTATTTAGAGATTTGATTGTAGGCTCTCCCCTTTGAAAGAGAATTCCTATTTAAAACAGCGATTTCCATGCAATGTACTTTGTATTTTATTTGGCATGTCTAGCAACATCATTTTTTCCTACTCTTTCTTTAGGTATTGCAAGCACATATGATAAACGATATGTGTATCTGCCTAATGGAAATAAAATATGGACGCTGTCATTCTCTCCAGAGCTCTCACATAGAACTCCACTTGTTCTCCTGCATGGGTTTGGAGGAGGTGTTGGACTATGGGCTCTCAATTTTGAAGACCTCTGTGAGAACAGGACTGTTCATGCTTTCGACCTCTTGGGATTTGGACGGAGCAGTAGACCACGCTTCGACACTGATGCTCAGGAAGCAGAAAATCAGTTTGTGGAATCCATAGAAGAATGGAGAAAGGAGATGGGGTTAGAAAAAATTATCTTGCTTGGACACAACCTTGGTGGATTCCTGGCTGCTGCTTACTCATTAAAATACCCATCAAGGTAAGTGAAAATAAAGGAACGAAATAATTCCTTTTCTGTATTTGTCTAGTGATTTCAACACAGATTTTATTTCATCAGGCTCTTTATAGATTATCTTCTAGTAAATTTTATCTTTAAGTTAAAGAAACTTAATAGTGCATTTTAAGCCTGAAACACTTGTTATATGTTTTGTTCCCAGGTGAATACAAAATGAGTACATATGGTGAACATGCTTTCCTGAGTACTTTTCTGTACCTCTTTGGTTAAGTACCCCCTTGCTATGTTATAAGGGGAAATAGCAAAGTTTGTATTTATGGGTGAATGCTTGTGACATCTCTGATCAAACATAGGTCTGTGAAGGGAAAATAGGCCAGTTTCTGCCAAACTTCCCTTTATTATGTATTACAGTGAAACTTTTGAAAGTAATTCCCCTAGGTAATTTATGCCTAGCAGTTGGCCTGGTGCTGGCATGATGATGGAAAAATTATTTTAGTGACTGTTTCATTTAAATTATCTGTATGCCACTTAATATTTCTTCTTTGCAAAACAATCCAGCTGCAGCACTCTTGTAATTACATTTCATCAGCTTTTTCTGCACAGTACTGTGGCCAACAGCTAATCCATTTTTTCCCTTGAAACTAGTAATTTGTCCTTTCCTTTTTTTTTTGTTTTTTTTCTTTCTTTCTTTGTCTTTTTTTTTAAATACAGTTTGGTTATATAGCCCCTGGTGAGCTAGGATCCCACCAACTGAACTGAGGTCCTGCAGTATCAAAAAGGGACATTGCTTTCCTTTAGGTACACATAGTGGACTCTTGTGAAAAACTGTGAACATGTTTAGCTTTCCGCATTTTATGGCAGATTCTATATTATACAAAACCTATCTTATACTTTTATATTCACATAAGTATTTTTTTTCCTCAGTTGGAGATTTTAAAGAAATGTATACGTCATTTTTTGGTAAAACACTTTACCTTTTCCTTTCCAAGTGGATGACAGCTGGTCCATGTGGCTGGAAATTATGGGTTAAAGTATATGTGTGTCTAAATCCAGAAGTGCGGTGAAGAAATGCGGTCCTCTGCTTTAGGGATGTAAGCCTGTTATCCTTTTGGGCATAAACCAACTTTCAGTTAACTGTAGTTAGTTTCTTGCAGGAACCACTTCCAAGTTTGTTAGCCCTCTCTCTGAAGTACCTATAAATGGTGCTGTTCTATCCCTGTGGGATGGGATAGCGTTTCTGCCCTGTGCTTACTTAAATCAAATGTGACACTTTGTTTTCATGTCTCATTGTGCTTATGTTGGGGTTAATTAATTTAGGGGTGTTTCAGATTGTGTTCTCCCATTACTAGTGTTTCTCTGAAATTAAAATACCATCAAAATAGCAAACTGACTCATAGGATCCTAAGACAGCATTGAATCAAGTGTTAAATATAGAACAGCTTTCAGTCAGATTATCTAACAATGCATTAGAGTCTTATGAGATTCTGTATACATACTGTTAGGAAAGCAGATCTGTTTCTCCCAGCTGAGATAATCCGTTAGTTTGCTGTATTGTACCAAGTTGTTCACCGGACATCTGAGGTTAATAATCCAAAAAGATTCCTATTTAGAATATCTCCAGGTGGTGGTGTGTCATGATTTTCAAATACTGCAACTTCAGACTATTACTTTTGGGATTATTCTCATGATCAATTTCCCACTATCCTGGGTTATGTGTTAGGCTTGGTTACCAGAACGAGAAATGCCAAATAGGAAGGAAAGTGTTAAGAACGGAAACGTGGGGGGGGAAAAAGCTTACTCTATTTTATTCATATGTTTGCTGCATTATGTTTAATGCTGCAGTTTGTGCACAGAATATGTGGCTTTCCTGAATGGCTCCTTGGTGCTTGCTCTCCTTAGCCTCTAACTTGGTTTTATAGTTAAATTGGTTGGGTTTATAGTTAAATATATATACTATATATATATATATCCCTGTTGGTTTTATAGTTAAATTCTACCCTGTCCTCTCTTAACCACTGGTGTTTGCTGCTGTGTGCAGATACGCTCATGTCTGAGCTGACAGCAAGAAGCATCTTTGAGAGGTTAATCCTTTTCAACCCCTCATTTCAAGCCCAGATTTTTGGTTTCCCAACTGATTATAGTCCAGAAATAGCCTTTGAAATCACTTCTGACATAATTTCAGGCACTAAGAACTCTGCTGTAGTAAATATCTAATCTCACGGTTTTGACAGAGGAAGAAGTCGTGAAGAAGAAAGTAAACATGATGAAGCTTGCATGGAAAATCACCTTAAATGTGCTAAACTCCAGCTAAGAGTCACTTTTTCAGAAATCAGCAGTATCTAGGACAGTAGGTGTTATTATGGGATTAAACAGACAATTTTAATCTGTCAAGATAAAAATAGAAGTTGTGCTTGAGAGGGACTCGCATTCATAGTTGTGTGTGCTTGGAGACTCCTATTATGCTGTCTGTAGCGAGATTCCTTTGAGTGACAATTTTATAAATTGGCTCTCTGACATTTCTTTAATGACCTAAAATCAGTAAACTTAGAAAACATCTAATTTTGATCTCCTTCTCTCAGTTCAAATTTTAGTTTGATAAGATGATTTTTCAGCTAAATAGCCTTGCTTCTTAGAACAAAGATCTTGCATGGCTTACAGAAGAAAGACACTTAGCAAGTTTACTTAAATGAAACAGATGCAGTTATCTTCTTTCTTCCCAAATTAAACTGCTCTTGCAAATAATATTGACTGAGATTAGGTGATTTTTAAAAGTAGAAACAAGACTGGCCTTTTTCTCAAATGTGTGTGACAGCTGGTATCCATTGAATACTGAGTTTCTCTCTGTGACATGAGTTTCTAAGTTCCTGCTGTTCTTACATATGACTAGTTAGAATTCAGTTACTCTAATTATTGACTGAAAGTAAAACCACTGTTGAATCGGAAACATTGGTAATAAGCCACTATGATAGAATTGACTAAGGTTGCAAAGTCCACAGATAATACATTTTTGTTGCACTCAGTTGAAGAAAAATAATGTACTCTAAACCTTTGAACTTTTTCTGCCAACAGGGTCAAACATCTTATCTTAGTGGAGCCATGGGGTTTTCCAGAGAGGCCTGACAATGCTGAACACGAAAGACCAATTCCAATCTGGATCAAAGCACTAGGAGCTATATTGAGTCCATTTAATCCATTAGCTGGGCTGAGGATAGCAGGACCCTTTGGTGAGTTTTAGCTACTCTTAAATATGATTTTTGTTTTTGTTAAACATAAACATGAGGCAGATACCGCATGAAGATAAGCTTTGTTGCCAGCCCATATGGAAAAAAGCTGGAGGAGAAAGTGAGAGGGGTTGAAAAAAGGTGAGCTCTAGGACAAGAGTTCTTCCTATTAGAAATACTAGTATGATAGTTTATAGCAAGCTACAATATGTTATTCTAGACTGCAGTTACAGTGAGACAGATCACATGGACATCTATTGGGAAAGCCTGACAAAGAGACATGATGTGAAAAGGTTGTTTTTCTGGTTGCTTCCAGTCACAGCCTATTTAGTTTCCCTTCCAACTGCAGTTTGATGGACAAACAGGATTTCCAGATTTGAGTAATGCTGTAAGTCTTTCATAAACTCATTTGTCTTTGGCCTGAGTTTAAAGAAGTTAAATTGAAACTGGGTTATTTCCTTTAGCCATTTTCTTGTTATTCATTCTCTTAACAAGTTTTGTGGGACTTATTGGTGTTCAGCATTACTGTAGCAGTCTAGTCTGCATATTTTTACTTTTCTTTAACAGCAGTGAAGAGATGTTAGCTAAACTCTGCATATCCTAATCCTAGGACTAGGTAGGGGTGGCCAGTGACTGCTGTTTTAGTTTATGTGGGGTAAAGGATATGATCAAATCTGTAAGTCATCACATTTGATGGGGAGATTATCTATTACTCTCTGTACTACAGGTGTATCTGCTACAGAGGCTTGGAAAAAGATACCCTTCAGACCCCTCACATGTTACAATTAGCTTGCCTCTTCATCATTTTTAGTATTCAGTCTGAAGATAAACTAGTCACATTTCTAGACTTCGTTTACTTTTAAACTACATCTGTGTCCTAAATCTCTTTTCTATAGAATATATATTTTAATATGCTGATCTATTTGATTGTTTTGGAGGGTGTGACAAAATCAGCTTTTCAGACAAGCAGCGTGTTTTGTACAAACCTTTTTTTTTTTTTTAAAGTAAAATGCTAAAATAAGCTGAGGCATATTAGTGAGACACAGTGATGTAATGTCTTTTATCCAGTAAAAAAATGCATGCACAGGTTAATCCATGTGGAAGAGTTCAAAGCTCAGGTTGTCTCCCTTAGCAAGCAAATGCAGCTAAAACCATGCTGCAGAAACAGACCCCATCTTGGCAAGGTATCTGCAACCTAGCCTCACTTATAGGTTGATATGGAGGGCAAGGCTTCTCAAAATTTTTCATCTGTTTTTCACTTTGTTAAAAAAAGTTTTCTATCATCAACTTAATGTGCAATTCTTGACAAGTGAAGCATAGTTCTTAGAAAAGGGTAAGTTTAAACATTGCTGCAAGGTAGGTATCAAACCCAACCTGATGAAGGCCACTGAACCAAACCCTGGTTTTCTTCTGCTTGCACATGTGCTTAAGCTGCTGGGCAGGTGTGGCTGTCTGATCCTTGCTATAAAGCCAATTGCTGTTGTTCAGAGGTATGAGTTAGTCACTTAAATGAGAGCTAGGTTCTTTGGGATATCACAGTGGTATCACATGGATATTTAATCAGACCCTCAGGCAGATACTTAAACCTTGGAGAGAGACTGAATCCAAGGAGATCTTTCTCTTCTAGTGGTTTCCAGTGAATTGATTTGCATGTTTTCCTTCACTTCACTGGAAGGGTCGCCCATGAGGTTCACAGTAGAGGGGCTTTGGTACTTGGGTTGGATTTGTGAATTCCATGCCTAGAGCTGAATGTGTGAAGACTCCTCCGGACAGCAGTAATGTCACTGTGACTACACCCTTCTCATGGAACTAAAGAGTCTTCAGTGTTAGTATTTCTTTTAGCATTTCCATAGTCACTATGTAAAACATCAACCTCACAATTGACAGTGTCTTCAGTAAACAAGAATAACTCAGTGTGAGTTTGTTCCAAGGTGCCTTGACTCCTTGTTTCGTTCCCCCCTGTAAATTCCCACAGAAGGAGAATGGTTATGTGATTGGACCCACAGGCAAAACACTTCTTACCAAAATGGAAAGTGAATTCTAAAGTTTGGTAACTTTCTGTCCCATAGTCACTGGAAATGGGGATGCTGTGACCTTTATGCTCATGGCAGTGAAAGACATAGAATTAGTCTCTTTCTTCCAAGTACTCTTAGTCCAATCCAGCTGTATTGTTTGTGTTCACATAACCCCCAAAACTAAACAACAAACAGAAAAAGACAGAAGTCCTGCAATTTAACTTTCTATAGAGAAAATAAAAGCAACAGAACAAATCGCAGCATGTTAGCAAACTCTTCATTGCTTCAGGACTTATATCACTGTTTCATAAGGGAATTATTTTCTCTTGCGCTGTATTAGTTTTCTAAATGGATTAAAAGCATACATAAGGGTGTGTTGCAAGAGTTTAATCTCAAGGTTACAAAAGCATAGATCACTGTGACAACATCTACATAAATAGTACCAGGCCTTTGGCCAGGGACAGGTAGGAAGAAGTGACATCACCATAATTGCAACAGTGTGAAGTTCCCACTGACTGGCAAAGGGGAAATATGACCCCCATTCTTAAAAGGTGAGAAAAGAAGACTGGGGAACTACAGGCCAGTCTCACCTCTGTGCCCAGCAAAGTCATGGAGCAAATCTTGGAAACTATGCCAAGGCACATGGACAGCAAGGAGGTGACTGATGACAGTCAACATGGCTTCACGAAGGGCAAATCATGCGTCCTTCTACAGTGGGGTTGCAGCACTGGTGGATAAGGGAAGAGTGACTGACATTATCTGCCTGGACTTGTGCAAGGCATTTGACACCATCCTGCATGGAGTCCTTATCTCTAAACAGGGGACATGGATATCCACACTCAGTGGATAAGGAATTGGTCGATGGTCGCAGAGAGTTGTGGTCAACAGCTCAGTGTCCAAGGGGAGACCAGTGATGAGTGGTGTCCTTCAGGGGTCAATACTGGGACCAGCACTGTTCAACATCATTGTTGGTGACATGGACAGTGGGATTGATGCACCCTCAGCAAGTCTGACAATGCCTCCAGGCTGTGTGGTGTGGTTGACAAACTGGGGAGAAGGGATACCATCCAGAGAGAGCTTGCCAGGCATGAGGGGTGGCCTGATGCCAACCTTACGAAGTTCAACAAGGCCAAGTGCAAGGTCCTACACCTGGGTTGGGGCAATCCCAAGCACAGATACAGGCTGGGCAGAGGACTCATTCAGAGCAGCCCTGAGGAGTACGACTTGGGGGTGTTGACTGATGAGAAGCTCAACACAACGCACCAATGTGCGCTCACAGCCCAGAAAACCAACCATGTCCTGAGCTGCATCACAAGAAGTGTGTCCCGCAGGTTGAGGGAGGCTGTAAGCGGCGAGGAGAAGCAGACAGGCCAACCCAATATGGGTGATAAGCAACTTCTAGTTTATTTGTGACGCAGTTCACACATATATAGGAGTGGTAGTATTCAGCCACTCCTTCTTGGCATAACAGTATTGGTTAGCCCCCACAGCTTCCTCCACATTCTCCTCCCAGGTCCGGTCTCCGGCCACCTGTGGGGGCCACCCCCTGCCTTGCTTGCACAGTCCTCCAGAACTCTATGGTTCTGCTCTTAAAGTCATTCTGCAACAATTCCCCCCTTTTTCTTTGTGCAAGCAAGGCATTATGGGTTATTCTGTTCACCTGTTTTATCACACAACTATAAGCAAGTCTAATAGCTACGATGATTAACCTAACAATGATACGTAAGTGCAATGCTTCAAACAACAGTGTTTGACTCAACCTGTAATGCCCGGTGAAGACAACCATCTAGTTATCATTTACTATTGCTGGGTAAGCTGAGCCAGGGTTCTCAGCTGTGCATGCATCGAATTAGCATAATCAGAGAGACTCATACAACACCTTCCATCAAACTCTTCACATCCATGTCCCTGTTCCAACAACAAAAGGTTCTGCAGTGTTGCATGTCTCACAGAGTCAACATTAAAACAAATCAGGAATTGCCTTCGATGTAGAATTGTCTGCTTAGCAACTCAGCAACCCAGTCTGCTTAGTTGAGCCAAGGCCCCGGCTGAAGCACTTACAGTGATTTGGCATATTATGATTGGATACATGTTTTGAAGACCCTTAGTGACTAACATATAATTGGTTAAACACAGGTGTGAGAACTCAACCTTGAAAGCTTGCCAACAGTCCACAGTTCTCATTAACTTGGTGAATTCCAGCCTCTTATCTTGCTTGCTTAAGCTTCTTCAGGCCTCTCATGGCCTTGCTGTATCTTTCAGGACTGTTCAAAGTTTATGTACCAATTATGCATTCTCCTGTGAGAACACTGTCTCCACATCTTCCCGCTTTTGTTTTATCCAGTAACAAGTCGCTACTACAGCAAGGCACACACACATTTACATTAGCAGAGTAACTATTACAGGGTGCAGCAGCATGTTGAAGATGCTGATGGCAGTGAAGGACTAGCCAAAGGAATTTCTTACCAGTGGAATTCTCCCCCCCTCTTAATTTGTTCCATCACCTGCTTTATAACACTACCATTGTATTAAAATTTTTCTAGCTTTTGCCTTAGCATTTTCTAGCAGCTACTGCAAATTTCCATACTCTAACATCTCTTTTACAAGTGACAAATCTATACAATACAAGGTGCAGTTTCTTATTAGCAACTAGCTAGTAAATACAGGTGGTTTTATACACAAAATCACAACCTCTAATATAGCTACTTTACAAGCACACATATCCAGGATGTTACTTTTCAGTTGTCCCCAAGTGATGTTTTGCAGTTATTTGTTCTTTCTCTTCCTCTATCTCATTCTGCTTGGGGTAATCACAGTCAGCTCCTGTAGCTGAGGCATCAGGTTTATCCATTCGTCTGTGCAGCTCATGGCAGGGCTTCACAAACTTTGCACAGTCGCCATGGACCTGTAGGCAGGAGGGCACAAATATACCCCTCCCCCAGGTTATCAGTTCTTCAGAAGTAGACAGGTTAAAGTTAAATGTAACATCATTACTCTCTCTCTCCCCCTTTTTTTTTTTTTTTTTTTTTTTGAGTCCCTGCAAAAGCCATCATTACTCCCACTACAGTCCCACCTACAGAACAAAGCACAAGGACCCTGTGGAGACTAACAGCAAACCAGCTCCGAGAAGCATCACTGCAGTGCGAGGTGGCAGGCTCAACCTTAGCGGGCGTCCCCGCAGAGGCTCTGCCTCCCCCACATTGTATGAGGCTTGGGCTTTTAAACTGACCAAAATGCACGCTCATTCCAACACAGGTGGCCAGCCTGTGCTGGAAGAAGTGGCCAGCAGTATCTACAGAGGTCTCCAAGGGTTGATAGAAACCTGGACATACTTATATTTACCAACTTCTAGTACATGAGTATCACAGAGAGACTGTATGGGCTCTCCCTGTCAATTGCAAGAAAAAATCATAACATATACAGCTTGAGTATAAGAGGATTTTAACACATACGTGGTCACTGTTTGCCAGGCCTCCTTAACTATTTTGAGATCAAGAGCTTCCCACTCTTTAGCCCCCTGCTGTGTAGTAAACACAGGATATGCAGGAATGCCCATTGCAGAAAATTCCCCAGTAATGATCACATCTTTGGTTACCCACTGTTACAACTGAGCGTCTCCAGGGCCAGTAAGTCTGAGCAGACCGACCCGGGAGACGAAGAGTCAGGGTCTGGAAGCAGAGGATATAAATCTGGCTCGGATTCAGGGGATTCGGGGGCTGATCCTGCGCCGAACTCGGGGTCTCCGTTGCTCGCAGCTGTGTCTTTCTTATCAGATGTATCTCTTTCGGTATGTAGCCATCTGCAGACCTGGCTCCTCCGTGACTGAGTTAAAAGTTTTTTCACTCTAGGGCGTAGTGGGCTGGAGAGGCTCGCGGTTCCTTTAAATCTCCCGCTAGCGCATGATCCTTATTTTTTTTTTTTACTGCGTGCTTCACAGTGGCGCCGCAATCGATCCGGCGCCGAGGCACCGCCCTTTTTCTTTCGGATTTCTCGACATTTATCATGCGTGTACCTTCTAATATACTTTCTCTGTCCTTTTCACAGTCCCTACTTTCGGAACTGGGGTGGTGGGGGAGCAGTGGGTTACACCTCCTCCGCGGCATCTTCTGATGAAGGGGGAGAAAAGGAAGGGGGGGGTGCGGGGTGGGAAACCCTGTGCTCCCGCGAGGGGGGGGGGGGGGGGGGGGAACGGGTTGTAATCTTCCCCCGGTTTCAACCGACCGGGGACGTCTGTTCCTAGTTTCTCCGTTGCTACCGCGGCAGTTTTCTTTTCTGCCTTGTATCTTTTTATACAGTTCATTACTTCCCTCCGTGGTTTACCGAGTTTGCCTTTTTATAATCATTAAGCACTGAGTCAAGTAGTTCATCACCAAACTTTTGCCACTCACTCTTCTCAAATATTGTATTAGGATCTGCAAAAAACATCTCTTAGCCTTCCTTACAGGCAGTAGACCTGCTAGCTGCTTTAGAGTCTCAGGCTCAATTCCCCGCTTTTATAAAAAGCACTGTAAAAAGTTCAGGGCTCAGTTCCCCGCTTTTATAAAAAGCACTGTAAAAGTTCAAGGCTCAGTTCCCCGCTTTTATAAAAAGCACTGTAATAAGTCCAGGGCTACCTCTCGGTCCATTTTCATGGCCAGCCTTTTCCGGATCGTCTTCTTCTGGGTCGTCCTGTAATCTCGGTCTCCGGATCGGCCTCCCGACGCAGCAGTGTCTGGTATACCCCAGCGGCGGACTTTTTCGGAAAGTCGCAGCACCCGGGTCCGTCACGCCACCGCAGCAGCACTGCCCGCGCTGCCCGGCCGCTGCCGCCGGCGCCGCTCTCTCGCCGTTCCGGGTCCCCGTCGACCGGGGCCCTGTATCCCGGGTCCCCGTCGACCGGGGCCCTGTATCCCGGGTCCCCGTTAAACCGGGTCCCTGTATCCTGGGTCCACGTTAAACCGGGTCCCTGTATCCTGGGTCCCCGTTAAACCCCTGTTAAACCGGGTCCCTGTATCCTGGGTCCCCGTTAAACCGGGTCCCTGTATCCCGGGTCCCCGTTAAACCGGGTCCCTGTATCCCGGGTCCCCGTCGACCGGGGCCCTGTATCCCGGGTCCCCGTTAAACCGGGTCCCTGTATCCTGGGTCCACGTTAAACCGGGTCCCTGTATCCTGGGTCCCCGTTAAACCGGGTCCCTGTATCCTGGGTCCCCGTTAAACCGGGTCCCTGTATCCTGGGTCCCCGTTAAACCGGGTCCCTGTATCCCGGGTCCCCGTCGGCCGGGTCCCTTTATCCGGGTCCCCGTCGGCCGGGGCCCTGTATCCCGGGTCCCCGCTAGTCGGGGCCCTATATCCTGGGTCCCCGCTAGTCGGAGCCCTATAATCCGGGTCCCCAGCGACCAGGGCCCTGTAATCCGCGTCCCTGTTCGGGCGCCATTTGTAAGCGGCGAGGAGAAGCAGACAGGCCAACCCAATATGGGTGATAAGCAACTTCCAGTTTATTTGTGACGCAGTTCACACATATATATGAGTGGTAGTATTCAGCCACTCCTTCTTGGCATAACAGTATTGGTTAGCCCCCACAGCTTCCTCCACATTCTCCTCCCAGGTCCGGTCTCCGGCCACCTGTGGGGGCCACCCCCTGCCTTGCTTGCACAGTCCTCCAGAACTCTATGGTTCTGCTCTTAAAGTCATTCTGCAACAGGAGGCAATCTCCCTCTTTACTCCACTCTCATGAGATCCCACCTGCAGTCCTATGTCATCATCTCTGAGGACCCCAACACAAGAGGGACGTGGAGCTGTTGGAGCGAGTCCAGAGCAGGGCCTGAAAGAAGATGCTCAGAGGGCTGGAGAACCGCTCCTATGGAGACAGGCTGAGAGATTTGGGCTTGTTCATCTGAAGAAGAGAAGGCTCTGGGGGGATCCTAGAGCAGCCTTCCAGTGTCTGGTTTCCCTGACCATGGCAGGGGGGGTTGGAACTAGATGATCTTTAAGGTACCTTGCAGTACAAATCATTCTATAATTCTATTTTCAGTTGATAAACCCAAGTGGTAAGATGTAAGCCTGTCTCTTCAGGGATGAATAATATTCTTAGGTTAAGATTAGGCTTATGGTGAGGTGCTTGTCACAAAGATCCATCTGGTCAAATAGGAGAGGCTTCTTCCTTAAAGAAGTGATTCAGAACAGGAGCTTAACTTTAGAAAGCCGTAACTGGCCATTGAAGGGACCTACTTCTCTAATTTGGCTCTTAAGCGAGCATGGAGATAATGGCTTTCCTAGGTTAAATCTCTTAATTTATACCAGTTCTTGTGTCTTACACTAATGTCAAGATTTCTACACCTGTTTTTCAGCATAGACTTTTGTTCTTTCAACTAAACACTAGTTAGAGGAGCTAGCTTCAAAATAAGACTGTTCTGTAAAAGGAGAGCACAGGTTCACTAAGGAATTAAAACAGCCCAGCTTTTTCAGCAGTGGTTTCTGGTTCTGAAAAGTGGGGTGCTTTTGGCCCTCCCAGTTCTCCTCCCAGAACAAGGAGAAAGTATTAGTCTCATGTGAGAATATACTGGTGGCAAAAAGATACTCTGCTTAGCTCTTTTGCTGGTCCCCTTTGCATATTTCTTGTATTGCTGCAATGACTCTTCTCAAACATTCCCTGTATGTGTTCAGTGGGATTGAGTTGCATCTCATCTGGTGCAGCATAAAATCCTTAAGAATATTTATGTTTTATTCCTGTTGGATGCAATGCCATCATGTTTTCCTAAGACATGCAAGTGGTGAAACAAAATGTAGGTTTAAAAGTCATCAACCTTAGCCTTGAGTTTCAAAGGAAAATGAGTTTGAAGGGTTGTAATGAAAAGTTGGCAATGTGATAAAGCTGTCTATACTAATTCCTGCTAATGTTTTCTGATTTAACAGGATTAAGCCTTGTTCAGCGCTTAAGGCCCGATTTCAAACGAAAGTATTCATCAATGTTTGATGATAACACTGTTGCTGAATATATCTATCACTGCAATGTACAGACACCCAGGTGAGTATGAGTTTCCCAGTGTATGTTTTGAAGTCGTTCATTTACAGAGTGCCTGCTACTCCCTCCAATGGCCACGGCAACTGTGTGCATGCTATTTTTTTCTTGAAACTGTAACACTTAACTGTATTAATTGAAGAAAAAAATAGCAATGCACTTTTTCTGAACTGCAGAAACTGGTAAGTGTAAAAGTTATTCTAATTCTGTATTTCTTCAGACTACCTGTGTGTTAATTCTGAGAGTTTAGGCACTAATTTTGAATTAAAAAATGTTACAGTTGTTTAATTTGTAAGGAATTTCTTAAAAAAAAACCCCAACCTTACAAAAACAAGGACTTTCATTCTTTTAAGTGTTACCAGTCACTGTAAAAACATAGGGGTCTTGTGTTGAAAATTACATGAAAACTTTGAGAATGTGTATTTCTAAATAGTAAAAAATCCCAGCCTCTTGTACTGTTGCACTCTGTGTTACCAAAAAGCAGAGAAAAGGCATATCCAATGGAAATTTAATTGGTTTTACCCTTTTGAATGCCTTGAAGTGGTGAAACAGCTTTCAAGAATATGACGATCCCTTATGGATGGGCAAAAAGGCCGATGCTGCAACGGATTCCACAAATGGATCAAGACATTCCTATCACTGTGGTCTATGGAGCACGTTCATGTATAGATGGCAATTCTGGCAGCACTATCCAGTCTCTGAGACCAAATTCATATGTGAAGACAATAGTAAGTTGATTTTTAAAGCAGTTGGTTTTTGTTGCATGGATTCCTTTAAATTGGTATTTTTGTGGTTTTGTACCATCTGTGAAAATGCTGGCCCTTTGATTTAAAGGCTTGGGTAATAACTTCTGTTTTCTGTAACAGAAAAAGAAAGAAAACAAGTGTTAGATCAGAGAAAACCTAGACAGAATTGAGTTTCCAGAGTAAGAAGGAAACTTATTGTAGTACTAGAAGCTAAATTAGATCTTTGAGCAAGGTCATTTTTCTTCTCTACATAAAATATTTTGCTCTACAGTGTGGTAATACAAGTAGTTTTTGTGGTCACTGGTAAATATGTGGGGGCTTGTCTGTGTTTGAAACCACAGCAGTCCTAATATCTGCATATATGCATGACATAGTGACGAGGCTCTCAGAAACTGTTCTGATCTGTCTGTATAGTGCTTTTGTTTCTCTGCTCAGAGAGTGATTTGTACCTGGTGCTTAGGTTCTTGTGAGTGTGTTTCTTTAAGTCATTTAAAAAAATCCTTAATGTTGTCTTCCTAGCTAATACATTCTTGTTTAGAGGTGTGGCATTATCATTTAAAATGTGTGTACTTGCAATGATGAGAATGTGCACACTGCATTTTTTGTTGATTTCTATAAAAACAAATGCACCTGAAAGTGTTCTTCACACATGTCACATCAGTCAGACGTGGTAATTGAATATGCCTATACATTACCCTATGAGGTGATAAAATGTCTAAATACACCAGTTGCCTTCTTACCGATGTCTAGATCTACCCGGACATTATATGATGTTGATAGTATACTACAACAAATCATTCAAATAAAATTTTTTCTCCTTGATATAGCATTATTGAACTTATATACACGTGTTAAGAGCACAAGTGTTGACATCCAGGCCAGAAATCTCTTAACTGCTTAACCAGAGAGAAAGTTGTAACAAAAGTCACTGTAAAGGAGTGACCTTTTCCAGGAAAACCGTATATCATTCAGACAGATTTTTCCGCTCTGGTCAGTGGTTTTTAGAAGGGACTGTGGAAATTTTGTCAAGCTAAATACAGATTCTAAAAGGTAAATTGTAGTGGTGGAAATTCTGTAGGAGGAATAGGATTCTCATGAGGCTGAGGTACTAGCAGTACCATCCTTGGTGCAATGCACAGATTCTGGTGGTTTACTATGTGTGTTTATTTCTAATTAATTTTTAGGGATTTTGAATTTGTATTTAAATCTGTTTTTTCTATTAAAACACTTCCTCTTAAGTCTCTAACTGAAGCCCATGGAAGTATAGCTAGGTTATTGTGTTAAAAGCACCCACAAACTCAGTTGTATTTAGTATCAAATACAAATAGATTTAAAAACAAATACTTGGACTGTATATAAAATAGAAACAAAATAGGTGAAGTACCTTCACTGTACGTTACGGTGAAGGCTTGCTTCATACCAGTTTTGGCAAAGAATGGTAAATGATAGAAATAGTGAAACACCCGTGTGTGTGGTTACTTAAGCCTTTACATGGTTGCTGTGAAATAATAAAGGTCACAAATGTGAGGTTTTCCTCCCCCATATGGCATCATTTGGATTTTACTTGTCCCTATATAACATAGTAGTCATTAATTCAGAGGGCTGAAATCTGCTTCCACGTATCTAGAAGACCTCCAGCAATTTAAACTTCTGAGTTCTCAATTTTTCCTAGTAGTCCCTTCTTTAGTTTCTTCCATATCATTTTTATAGTAAGAGAATACAAATGATTTGATGCTATAATGCAAACACAGAATCAGGGAGCAACCTGGCAGAACTCTTTGAGTGCAGAATAAAAGGGGTGAAGATGAATCAGTAGTTTTATATGTAAAGCATGTTCTCCTGGGTTTGTTTTGCAGTGACTCATTGAATAGTGTTGGATTTTTTCAACAGGGTGTGGTGTGCAGTTGAATAAGCAGTGGTTTTGCCCTCTCTTCCTGTGTAGGAAAGTTCCTTCAACAGAACTTGAAAAGCTTTTTCCTTATGTTTACAGTCCTTTTTAGGGTTTATAATACCACCTCCTGGCAGCAGTTGTGCTAACTGCATTAACACAGGCTGGGTGCAGGAAATCAGTACCAGCTGTGACATTTACATTTTTAAGCAATACCATATCAAGTAGGTACTGTGTAAAAGTCAGGCTCTTCACATATGCCAGTATTTATTTATTTATTTCCGTATTCCATGCTTGTGAATTTGACCTGTTTCTTCACCTTTATCTTCTAGGCTATCCTTGGTGCAGGTCATTACGTGTATGCTGATCAACCTGAAGACTTCAATCAGAAAGTGAAAGATATCTGTGATTCTGTGGACTGACTGTCTCCTGTTCTTTAGAAAGTCATGCCATAGATAATATTTGATAGCGATACTGTCTAGGAAATCACTAAAGAACATGGAGCTAGTGGAACAGGCTCTGTTTGCACACTGTTTCTTCTAAGAAGCCATTTGCACACTTAAACCACTGAGTGCCTTGGGGAGAGGGGGAGATGGAGAGATTTGAAGCAAACTTAGAATCATAGAATAGGTAGGGTTGGAAAAGACCTTAAGATCATCTAGTTCCAGCCCTCCTGCCATGGGTAGGGACACCTCACACTAAACCATGCCACCCAAGGCTCTGACCTTGAACACGGCCAGGGATGGAGCATGAGCAAACTTTGTACAGCTTTGTTTGAGATTGGTCTTTAGATTATTGGCCTGTCATATATGAAACTACGTGTGACTTTTTAAACCATAATTTTCTTCAAAATTCAATTGAATTGACCTCTAAAAATGCTGAATTCTCCACTAACACAGAGAACTGTATCAATGTAGATGCAATGTATAAAATGCAGTTTGGTTTCTCTATAAATATTCATAGTTTTTAGTTGATGTTTCACAGCAAGAATATGAAATTGCTTGTATATCATATTTTTGGAATCCAGAACTCCATATACCATATTTTAAGTGGGTTGTTTCTTTTTTATTATTATTGGAGTGATAACAGTTTATGAAGCTGATTTTGGGAGGACAGGGCCAAAATAATGAGCAGGGTCTGTCACTGAAATAAGTGTGTTAGTTTGTAAGGAATTGAGGCTCAGCATTAGGAACTTTTTTCTTCTGTTAGATTTTATTTCCATGTATCTCGAGGCATCTTTTCCATCTGTGCAGCTTTCACAGAAGGCTCAGTTTGTAAGAGTCAGTGATGTCACCAGCACTCATGCTTCCCTAAATATTTTTATATATATATTTTGGTGATTTAAAACACAGAAGATGGCTTGTTAGTTTCTCCAACTATTTTTAACACTTTACTGCAAGATTTATTACTAGCCTAAACCTAACAATTGTAGATAAGTCGACAAGATTTTGATTAGAGCTAGAGGAGGGCCATCTGGATAGTGAGCAGAATTTCCTTTTTCTTTAGGTAGAAAACCTAGTCCACTTTTTAGTAAATTTAGGGCAGAGGAGAAGCAGAGGGAGAAATTGATGTTCTCTAATTGGGAACTACAATAGGTTAGTGTATTTTAGTTAACATGCAACCTCCTTATAGGAAGGATTATTACTGGAATGAACAATATAACACTGTAACAGATTATAATTACATGTTTTGGAGATTATTTAATTATCTATTTTAATTGAGTATTTCAGTATCAGAGATAATCCAGTCTCTGCATCTTTTTGAAACTGTAGTTTGATGTTAGTTCTTCACATGCTTTGTAAATTATATTAAGCAAAATACTTTGTCACTTTAAAGCCAAATTACATGGTGGTTTGTTTTTTAACAAGTTTACATAAAGCTATTGGTCTGCTTTTGAATACTTAATTGACTACTGAAGAGTCCTTGATACTTTTATACATAAAGAATTTGAATTAATAATTGCACCGTCTTAAAGCTTGAGTGGAACTCTGTGCATTTTTTTCTCTCAAAGTAATGAATTATTGCACATATTTATGACTTGGAAGGCAGAGATAGATACCTAAAATATTCAGAATATACTCTGATTATGTTCCCAGCCAAATGCAATATTTCTGAAGGAGATATTCATCTATATGTTCCTATGTAAACATAAGACAGTCTTTGTGATTGCCTTGACTGGTAGCACTTGATACCTGACAAGCTAAAGATTTTAATTAAAATTAATTCTTGAATTAAATTACATTTTCAATTAGCAGACACAAGAATTTTTAAACAAAATGTTGGGTTATTTGCTAAAATCTTGAGTTCAAAATGGAGGATCAGTATATCAATGAAATTTTTTAATATAAGCTATAAATTATCACCATTTAGGTGGATGCCTTCAGTATGCGTTTTTTCACCCTTTTCAGTGTCTTAATTTGTATTTATCAACTTAAAGAGCTGTTTTAACTGTGTATAAAAACCTAATTCAGAAGAATATTCTGAATCCCCTCCAAATAACAAAAGGTGAAACAAATTGTTGGTATTTTCAGATAGCACTTACTGACGGGAATTCTAGATTCCACATCAAAAGATGGAAGCAAGGGTAAAAATTGTACACTGAATGTGAATATTGTTTTAAATACCCCTTCTTTTTTCAGCCCATTGTACTAGTAAGATTTATTGCTTAAGTTTTGCACAATAAAAAAAAAATCCTGTTACCCTCGATTAATGTTAAAACATGATGCTTTTGTAAAAGTTGTGTGTAATGAAGCCCTGGAAGTCAAGAGTAATTAGTAAGTTGAGCTAAACCATCCAAAATACACTAAAAATACAGTAATGCTTATTTCCAGATGTCTTAATGTTTTTAGGTTTCCATGTATGTAATTGAAACTGGTAAGCATTTGTCAATAAGTAGGTGCAAGCTCAGAATGCTGATTGTATATACAAAGAAAATGTTTGTTGGTTATCTTCCAGGCAGTATTAGATACTGCTGCAAAGGTCAAGATGGAATTCTGAATATCCTATTATGTGCAACATAACCCAATAAAGTTACTTTAATAAACATCACAAGAGGTACTGAAGAGAAAGCAAATGGTGCAACTTGGGAGCTAGACCTTTTGGGAGCAATTACTGTCTAGGAATAAACTCAGTTTCTCTGAAGTTTTGTGTCAATGCAATGACCACTTGTGTGGACTGTACTGAGCACTGTACGCTAGTGCTATTTTTATTACAGTGCTATAAAGTAAGACAAGGATCACAAGCATAAGGGCACCCAAAGATCCTGTTCTAGCATCAGAATGAAGACAGCTGTGTACCAGAGACTGGGGTGTAACAAAAATAATCCAAAATATTAATAAAAAGCCAAGATAAACTGTGTAAGTCTTCAGGGCATGCTAAAGTAACTTAGTAATATTTTGTTTGCATGGCTGATTTCATCTTGTTACTTATTAAGCCCTGTCAGGTTAGATTTTAGTTCTGAAAAACTGATTTTTCAGAGAAGTAATTTATTGATAAGACTATAATAAAACATTCGCCACCATCACAAGAAAGTCCCCATTCATATCTGATTGAGAAATTGAGGATGTGAATTTGTAGGCATCAAGATTAGCTGCATGGGTCCAAACTGAAGAAATATTGTCATCTGGTTTCACTTGGATTAAACCAGTGCTGGCATTTCTTTTGAAACCGTATCTTTTTAAGATTGCTACAACTGTTCATGCTGAACTGATGTGATGGTCCCTGTGTGCAATGCTCTCTGTGGTCCATTGTGGTTCCTCAAATTCCCAGCCCTTCCAGATCACAATTATTCAGCTTTTTGTGTACAAGATTAAATACAATAAAAACATCTGGAATGAGTGTGTAGGCAGATATATTCAGAAATGCCTGTTTGGCTAGCATTCATTATTATGTGAGCCTTCAGAAGCCTAAGGCTAATAGTCAATAGTTTAAATGGGTAACTTCTTGTGGCTGCTACATATATCTGTCATTTTGTCAGGTTCTCTTAGGTTGGCCAGTTCACCATCAGCCCATCCTGTGATGTTTAAGCATGACAGCAAACCCAGGTTGCCAGAAGCCTTCATCCAGGGATTTATTTTGTAGGAAAAACAAATGAAACTTGTCCAAGGGCCAGTCACTAAAGACAGCAGGAGAGGGTACATTATAGTGGGACAAGAAAGATCATATCAAGACACAGGTGTGTGCTGTAACTGCTTTCTGGTATTGGTGCCAGTAGATGAAAATGGATGGAGACTTCATGTTTTCAGACAGGTGATGGATGGACCACTGTGCAGAGCAGAGGCACGTAACTGGAGTGACCGCATATACCACAGGGAACAGGAAAAGCTAGAAAGGAATGACGCAGCTGAAATAATTCAGCTGAAGAGCATGGGGTGGGCTATGATGGTTTTCTTCTAGAGCTGGTTTAGTTCTAGATGAGGCTAAGGGGATGATTCAGGATGTTAAGGGCATAGAGAGATAGGACTGGCAAACAAGGTAAACAAGGAGGGAGAAGAACCTGGCTGACGCGCCTAGGGTAGGTGTGAAGTTTGAACTGGAGCAGAAGTAGGCTGCTGCCAAAGGAGCACTTGCAAGGAAACAGCAAAGCCCCGGGCAGCCAGCAACTGGATAAGTGCTGTTAAATGCTACCCTGAAATATCTTCTTGTATAATTAATTCCTCATTGCCTCCCTAACACACTGAATCTTTGTCTCAACAACAGCTTTCTCTCTAGGTGCTGGAACTAGGCAGCAAGCTAGCATTTCCGTTTCCGAGCTCCCTTCTTTTCAGTTTTATTTGGGCTAGCTAAGGCTGCCACAGGATAACATGGCTTACCAAGGTAAGGAGGGTGCCTGCAGCACCAACTAGAGGCAGGTGTGGCTGGAGAGCTTGGATCTACACTATACAGGGCACTGTAAAATTCTGGTATTCCTACTTCAACTAAAGTTTGTCCTCTGAATGCAAGTGCTATTTCACAAGCTGGACACCGTTGCCTCACACTGGTACTTGGATGGGAAGTATTTAAAGAATGGCTGTCTCCTTCAGCACTTAAGAAATCATGAGAAACAGTATTCTTACAAGTCAAAAATGAGCTGATGGTGAACTGTGAGGGAAGGGGGACACTGGACTGCCCAAGGCAAGATGAAAAATCAAGATGTACAATAAGACTTATCACTAAAGGTCACAAATTCATCCTTTACAAGAGGAGTGGAGGGCTTTGGCTCTGTTCCAGCTTGCCTTGTTGCATTTTGGTCGCAGGAATATCCTACCTTAAGATTTGTATGTGTGCAGTAGAATGCAGAAATAGAAAACATGGAAGTATTTTTCACATATAACTTAAGAAACACAAGTAGCAAGAACATGCTGCGCTGAAATGTAGACATTTGGGGATATGTACATAGTTTACCATAGTAATTAGCAAGGTGAAAGTCGTGTCAACACTGGAAGCTAGGTGTTTACTTGTCTTTTCCTTACTTGCAGAGGAAAGCTAGAAAGCTGAAACAGCTGGTTTTGGAAAGCAAGGCAGAGGCT